ACACATTTCTAAATTTGGAAATAATTCAACTTTAAACTCTTCATTTTACCCTTTTTGCCCTTAATGAGAAGCTTTTAAAGCCACACAAATGACATGACCCCACAAACCTTTTACCCCTTAAGCTTTTAAGACCACAACTTTCAAAAGTCTTCTTCTTTTTTCATAAACTTCGTGCCGAGTCAAACTACCTCAAATAATATGAAACGGAGGAAGTATAGCTTTACTTTCTATTTTATACTACTCTTATTCTGTCCTCGGAAGCATAGCTCCCGGAGTCAAGTCTGCCATTCCCTTTGATTTTAATGCTAAGTCTTATTTTTAAATCTAATTTATTTATCATTTTGGATCAAATCAGTTCGCTTGTCTATAAACCACGTAACAAATTTAACTGTACCATTTTATGGGTAAACAGTTTGGTGCCCACTGTGGGGCTTAGACATTTGCATAATTGAGTTGATCCTTGCATCTATTACTAACTCGTTTGATTCTTTGTTTCATAGCAAAAATTGAAAATAGCAGCTAGCGATATCAACATCACACACAGCGTTGAGACGCACAAAAATCCGCCTCAACATGAGGATTCAATTAGTGTCACCCGCAAAGGGGGATGTGGAAACTCCGGTTCATGGCGAACAATATCGCTGACATGTGCGGGAAGAAACTCCCGATGATGCGGAGGACGAACACATTGCGTAAATAGTAAGGATCTTGAGAAAGCAACAGAAAGCCATCATGGACCATCTCTCAAGGTAGGACCAAGTCATGACGGAATTAAAACAGGCATTATCAGATGCTTCCAACAATGCAAATGGAAGATGCCCAGTTCCTCCCAGGGCTCCTGCTGATCAAATGGCTCAAAGAGTTGATAAAAATAAACCCCACCGGATTCAACTTGGCAAGTGTGACAACCCGATGAGAGATCCTGCTGCTCACAAACGCTGAAGGGGTCACGAAGACCACCCTATTTGAAGTGGCGGACGGCGATATAGGCTAAAACATAATTCTTGGTAGACCATGGTTACATGAAATGAAGGTTGTACCATCAACATATCACTAGCTATTGAAAATCCCGACCCTAGAGGGAATCAAGAAAATAAAAGGAGATCAACCGGCCACAAGCGAAATGAACATAGTGTCAATTTCCAGCAGTAAAGGGAAGAAACCTAGAAAATAGCAATTACAGGAATCAGCGCTTGCTCACGAGCCGAGTGAATATGACAAAGGCGAGGTGTCTTCTGAATCTCACCAGGTACCGAGGTACTTTCAGGTACTGGAAGACATAGACGCGAATATGCATAGATTATAAAGAATTGAATAAGGCATGCCCTAAAGACTCGTTGCCACTGCCAAACATCGATCAAATAATTGATGCAACGATCGGGCATGAGTTAATGAGTTTCCTCGATGCCTATCCGGGTATAACCAAATTAAGATGAACCCGGAAGATCAGGAAAAAATGTCATTCATAACGAACTTCGGCACATATTGTTATAATGTGATGCGCTTTGGGCTTAAAAATACCGGAGCTACTAATCGGAGGCTCGTGAACAAGATGTTCGAGAAACAAATAGGTAAAATAATGAAAGTATACATAGATGACATGTTGGTCAAGTCATTAAATGCAGATGATCATTAATACACCTCTAGTAAACATTTGATATCCTGAGGAAGCACAACATGAAGCTCAACCTGGAAAAATACGTGTTCGGAGTTGGCTCTAGTAAGTTCATGGATTTATTGGTTTCACAAATGGAAATCGAGGTAAATCCCGATAAGATCAAATCCATCAGGACATCCCAGACCAACTGACATGCGTAAAATAAGCCCAAAGCCTACCCGGAAGATTGGCCGCTCTAAGTAGGTTCATCTCTCGATCCTCGAAAAAATGTCATCACTTTTTCTCTCTTCTGAAGAAGAAGAACAATTTCTAATGGACTCTAGAATGCCAACAAGACTTAAAAGACCTGAAATGTTATCTATCAAGCTCCCTGTTACTTTCAAAACTGAGGGAAGGCGAGCAATTACTAATATACCTAGGGGTCTCGGACGTAGCGGTGAGTGCCATTCTAGTCCAGCGGGATAAAGATACACAATTTCTTGTTTATGATGTTATATGAGGAGCATAGACTTGTTATCCGCACCTTGATAAGTTATCCTTAATTCTCATAGTCGCCTCTCGAAAGCTTATGCCCTATTTTCAGTGACACCTGATAGTCGTTGTGATGACCTTTCCCTTGTAGAATGTTCTTTACAAGCCTGAGTTATCAGGCCAGTCGACCAAATGGGCAGTAGAAATTAGCGAATTCGATGTCGAATACAACCCTAGGACTGCAATCAAATCACAAGCTTTGGCCGATTTTGCTCTTGGGCTATTACCCTTGGCCGCTAAAGAGGCAGTGATCGTATCGGAAACGTCATCAGGAGTTTGGACCTTGTTCACGGGTGGAGCTTCTAATGTGAAAGGGTTTGGGCTTGGGTGGTCCTAATCACGCCCTCGGGGGAAACCCTGAGGCAGGCCATTAAAATTGTTCCATTAACTAACAATGAAGCCGAGTATGAGGCTTTGGCTGCAGGACTTGAACTAGCCGGGGACTTGATTCTGAAATCAAAGAAATCAAATATGATTCCCAGTTGGTGGTAAACCAAGTGTATGGGATTTTTGAAGCAAAGGAGGAACACATGCAACAGTATGTGATTAAAGTTCAAACTTTTCTTGCACGGTTCAGAGAATGGTCAATCACACACATCCCGAGAGAAGAAAACATAGAAGCACTTGCATTGGCCAATTTGGGGTCGTCTACGGAGATGAAAGGGTCTGACTCCGGTACCGTCGTTCAACTTATGAATTCGGTGCTAGATGTGGATGTCTATTGCAAAATAAATACAACCAATCTAGTCTGGGACTAGAAGAACGAGTTTGACTATCTTAGGCATGCTAAGCTGCCTGAAGACTTGAAGGCGTCCTGCGCACTACGCACTAAAATTGCTCGATACTACCTCATGGGCGGACAATTATATAGGAGATCATACCAAGGCCCCCAGGCCCGATGTCTAGGAGCCTCAGAAGTGGATTACGTGATGAAAGAAGTCCATGAAGGAATTTGCAGAAACCATTCAGGTGCAGATTTGCTGGTACTGAAACTAGTTAGGACAGGATACTACTGACCTCGGATGGAATAGGACGCAAAGACGTTCGTATAAAAATGTGACAAGTGCAAATGCTATGCGCAATTGGTACACCAACCGGCAGAGTCCACTGTTGCCGGTTCGGAATACTGAAGGAGATTGCGTGCGATAACGAACCACAATTCGTAGGCTCCAAACTCACACAATTTCTCGAAGATTTGAAAATCAAAAGAATTACCTCCGCACCATACCATCCGAACGCTAATGGATAGGCGGAGTCAGCCAATAAGGTACTTATCCAAAACCTCAAAAAGAGATTAGAAGCTGTTAAAGGCAAGTGGCCCAAAGAGTTATCTGGCGTGTTATGGGCGTATCGTACGACGGAAAAATTAAGCACAGGAGAGACACCTTTCTCTCTCGTATATGGCATGGAAGCTTTGATCCTGGTGGAAGTAGGGAAACCAACCTTACGGTTTTCCAAGCTAATGAAGAAACAAATAACAAGGCGTTGCTGATAAAGCTGGATCTACTGATGAACGCAGGACTTGGCACACGTAAGGATGGTGGCTTAGAAGTAGAGGATGGAAAGATACTACAATCGGAGAGTCAATCTTCGCTACTTTAAAGTAGGAGACTTGATTTTGAGGAAAGTGACTCAGAACACTCGGGAAATCAATGTTGGGAAGTTGGGTCTGACGTGGGAAGGCCCTTACTGGGTTTCAGCTACCACCGGTAAAGGATAATACCGGCTACAGAATCAAGATGGAGTCAAATTGCTCAGCATTGGAATGTGGCTCACCTCAAAAGGTATTACTGCTGATGGATCCTAACTATATTAAATGTGCTGCACTCTTTGTCCCTTCGACCAGTGTTTTTCTGGCAAGATTTTTAACGAGGCTACATTCTATTCTCAAGTTAAATAATACAACTTTTCTTTCTGTTATACTGCTCTTATTTCTGTCCTCGGAAGCATAGCTCCCGGAGTGAGGCCTGCCATTCCCTTCGATTTTAGCGCTAAGTCTTATTTTTAATCTAATTTATTTATCATTTTGGATCAAATCAGTTCGACTATCTATAAACCATGTAACAAATTTAATTGTACCGTTACGGGTAAACAATAATAAATGTGTATAAATAAAATACATATCTTATACTCCCTCCGTTCCAGTTTATGTGACTATTTTCTTTTTGGTCCGTTACAAAAAGAATGACCCCTTTTTAAATTTGGAAACAATTTAGCTTAAATTTTTAATTCTACCCTTAATGATAAGCTTTCATAACCACACAAAATAATTTGTACCCCCTTTTTGACTTGTTTAGGACCAGAAATTTCAAAAGTCTTTATTTTTTTTAAATTTCGTGCCTAATAAAATATGTTCATAAATTGGAATGGAACGGAGGGAGTACTATTCGTTAATTTGGTAAACCTGAACACAATGATTCTGACATCATAGAGACAATGTCATATCAACGTCTCACATTTCGTGACTTTCTTCCAAACACTACGAAGTTCTCTTTAGTTCGCATCAGAAAATCAATCACTTCATCAGAAATAAAAAAGAAAATAAATAAATCCAGAACAGTACTGTTATAGCTAACCTTTAAAGTACAAAAGGCCACTGTTCAAACACCTATTGTGCGCGGTTTTTTGAGAAAACGCTTCCAACCCATTTTTCCAACTCATTTCTGGCTTTCACCCAAAATCCTTACACCTCGCAGTTCATTACCAACTGGTTTGCACTTCTCTATTTTTGGCTGCTCAAGGCTAATAGCACACAATTACCACCTTCATAAATGGCTTTCGTAATCCAGTGGAATCTTAAACTCAAACTGAACCATTACCTAGTACTATCAACTAGAACTAACGTATCCAGATGTCCAGTCCTGGGGCGAGTAGCAGTGGAGGAAGCAGTGGGCGCCACCCCGTGTACAAAGGAATAAGGAGAAGGAAGAGCAGCGGAAAATGGGTGTCCGAAATTCGAGAGCCACGATCACCCAATAGGATTTGGCTTGGTACATTTCCTACCCCGGAAATGGCAGCAGTTGCTTATGACGTAGCTGCACTGGCCCTTAAAGGCCGGGATGTTGAGCTCAACTTCCCGAACTCAGCATCCTCATTGCCTGTCCCGGCTACCAACTCACCTCGTGATATTCAGGCAGCTGCAGCCTGCGCGGCTGCAGCTCTTGGGGCAGCTGGGGATGCTTTAGGCGCCCATGGAGGAGTTGATAATAATAATAACAGACCGGTTTCCAGAGAGATAGAAAATTCAACATCTTGGAATAATAACGAGTTTATAGATGAAGATTTGATCTTTGATATGCCAAATGTGATTATGAATATGGCTGAAGGAATGCTTCTTAGTCCTCCACGTTTCAACCTTCCTGATGATGACACTACTGCTGCTGGATATACTGCAGACCAAGATCTCTGGAATTGTCCCTAACTATGACAAGTTTTAGTAGTAATTATGATTTTAAATAAGATGAAATGACTTAATAACCTCGGCAACATTTGAAGGCTCCAGGTAAAAGAATGGGCTTTGTGTTTGCATGTTCCTTTTCTACTGTGTTTGTAAAGGGTTTTACTGTTTTTTAAGCTTTGCAAATCTCCATTGAAAATGCTTTAATTTTGCTATCAAACACTAAATATTTAATAGCACTTAAATTCTTGAATCTTTGATTCCAAGAAGTCTGTTAAGAATATTTTTATAGTATAGACTTGCATTTAATAATAGCACAAATCAAAGCCTTCATTAGCTTAAAGAAGAAGTTTCTGTATTGAGCAACTTCATTTTCTATCTCTTTGTTATATATATGGGAGGGTAGAACTTATTACTAGTACTTTAAAAAAAAGGCGGTTATCAAGGTTTTATTGGACTTGCAGAGAGCACATGATTTAATTTCTTTTTAAGGCAATCAAATCAAGAGAATTATATTAGCAGCAAAGCAAAAGATTCCTGTTGTTAGGTAGAGCAAGCTAATCGTATTGGCAATGTTTAGTCAAATAGAATCATTAAAACGTTTACCCTAACTACCAACCATATTACTCCATCCGTTTCAATTTAGGTGATGTAGTTTGACACGGCATGTAGTTTAAGAAAAAAAAACTTTCGAAATTTGTGGTCTTAAAAGCTTAAGGGTAAAAGTTTTGTGGGGCATGATATTTGTGTGGTTATAAAAGTTTCACATTAAAGGTAAAATAAGTAAAATGAAGAGTTTAAAGTTGAATTATTTCCAAATTTATAAATGTGTCATTTATTTTAGAACAGACTAAAAAAGAAAGTCATCTAATTTGAAACGGAATGAGTAATATTTAATAGTCCAGTACTTCTTACCTTTCTATTTAAGGATGACGGTAAGTTAGCAACAAAGTGAGGAGTTACAGGGATATGATCACTTGAGGGATGTTCCACACTATTCAATTCCCTTATGCTAAAGAATGTTCCAGCACTGTTACATTGTACATGGTCGAGTCAAATTAAGCCACGGACTCCACTCTTGATGTTGCTATTTCCGTTAATTCCTTTAAGTTTCAGCCTTGGGATCATACTCTCTGGAACCCAAAAACTTTGATTTCTCATAAGGTGCCAGCGGACTAAAAGCAACATATGCCAATCCCTGGTCAGCATTAATCATCGTTTATGGTTGAGATTAGGACGATAGTTGATCGTTTTTTAGCCCCTAACTTTCGTTCTTGGTTAATAAAATCATCCTTGGCAAATGCTAACTTATACGAATGCTTTATGGTTTTTGAACTTGGAATGGAACCCCTAAAAATTAAAACGAGGCGCAATCAAAAGAATTAAGCACCCAATATTGGCAAAATACCATCGCGTTAAGGAAAAGGATTTGGGGAATGAAACTGGGATTGACATTTCCAATTTGTTATATGTCAAAGGCCACTTTCTAAAGACAGCTTTACATTGCAAAATTATGTTGTTTCCCACCTGTGTCCATTTCTCGCTGACAAGATTTGTGGACAATTCAGTTGCTTCTAAAGATATATGAACAAATAAAAGTCTAATAGTACAAGAAAGATAAATGCATTATAGAGTCTCATACAACTCAGAGAGAACTGTTTGACTCAAAAGATATAAAAATCTTTTTGAACAAATCAATCAAAGATGAAGGGGTAAATCTTAGCTGAATATAATAAACACTAGAAGAAATAAGAGATAAAGAGATGATCGTCAATAGGTTTCTTTTCGTTCTCAAATAGTGTTTTCCATAGAGTTTCACTTGCCTTATTACAAGGTTCTTGTCCCACTTATATACTAGAGAGAGACTGTTCTAAATTGTAAGAAACAAATTACAAAGAATATTCGATGGAATATTCTCAATATCCCCTAATGGGCTTACACTACTACAAGGGTCGTACAGTCTCTTCTTTTGCCCTAAGGTCGTCTCCCTCGGGACGTCAACTCGAAGATACCCGGTCGTTTGTCATACTTGTCATAGGTCGTGGTCGGTTAAATTTGGACCCATACAGTTAGTTCCTCCGCTGGTCGGGGTTGCGAACGGACGCATCCTCGATGAGCGGACTTCACGCACTCTTTTGGAGGAATTTGACCTGTTGAAACGTTATGACGTGGAAAACGGGAGATGGTCATCATGTTCAGCAAAACACCGAGTGGTACATTTTACTGGGAAATGATGTCAGCTTCACATGCGTCATCATTACGCAGGTTTTCGAGGCAGGGATTGACGACTTGATGCTTCGATTCTTGTGCAGCTTTGAGACTTGCCGCCTCGATTCTGGCGCCACCCAACCCTATAAATAGGTGAGGGATTTGTTTTTCCGAAAAACTTTAGCCATTTCTCTCTTGATAACCTCTTTCACTCTTCCTCATTTGCTCTCATATCCTTCTGTTTCTTCTTTCGTTCCTCACCTGAAGCTTCTCCTTTCTTCTTCCTTGTTGATATTCATTTGAACGATATCATGCCGAGGTCTCGTCGTTCTCGTGAAGAGGTTCCTGAAGCCACCCCGTCGTCCACGGTGCCTCCTTCTGACAGCGGAGATATGGTGGTAGAAGAGGGTGATAGCCCTCTTACGGTGGAGGAGTTACTACCGAGACACCCTTTATCCCGGAGTGACTTCCTCAAAGATCCCCCTTCCACCCCGAACCCCGTATTTTCTGAGACTGAGCAGGTCTATATCGATGGCCTTCGTATAAAGTATGGCATTCCTGCTCATATAGAAATGGTTCCAGCGGGGAGAGATTACATGGACGTCCATAGACCTGGGTACTGCGCTTTCTATGAGTACCCTTTTATGATCGGCTATACTCTTCCTCTCTTCCCCTTAGCAGAAGAATTCTGTAGATTCTACCAAGTTTGCCCAGCACAACTTTTGCCATATACGCTCAAGGTGCTTCTGCTATTGACCAAGTATGCAGAGTTGGCGGAGTGCAGCGTTTCTGTCCACCACCTTTTGCAACTGTTCACGCCTGGCTTCCTCAAGGGTACCATGGTGCATTTGAGGCTTCGTGGCACGAAAGGGCTGGTGGTCGGGACGGATGACCGGGCAAGTCGCAAGTTTTGGCACAAATACTTCTTTATCAAGACCGAGCACGTCGTTTCTGACTTTGTCGGATTCCCGGAGCGGTGGAACAAGGCTCGTAAGTGTCGTCACTCATTTTGTTCCCCTTTCTTTTGTGTTCACTGTAAAGTTTATTCTCTTGCCGTTTTGCAGCGATGGGTCGTCCCCCTCGCCCTATTGCGGATATCAGGGATTGGGTAGACCGTCTGTTGCCTCATGCAGCAGAAACTCGAACTTGGCCCGCCTTCGTGAAGCATTACAGCCCTAAAGTTCCCTCTGGTAAATGTCTTACTTACTACTTCATTGGTCGTGCGACCGTATTTATGGTACGACCCTTTGTGATGACAGGTCGAGGAGCTTCCAGGCAAAGGGCGCCAGTCCTCGCCTTTCGACAAGTCATTGCTACTGCAGACACGCAGTTTGTTTTGACTGAGTCTGTTCGGGAGGGTCTTCCTCAACCTATTCAATTAGGAGATCCGTCTCGAGTCGTGGCCGCGAGGGAGGAGGCTTCCTCGGTGCCGGCCTCACATCCTTTGGATGAATCCTCTAATGGAGATGAGCCGTTGTCGAGAAAAAGAAGGAGGTTGGAGCTTGGGAAGGGCGTGGCCACGGATGCTGATAGAAGCAGGGCGTCCCGGACAGCCCATATGCCCGTATTCATGGCCGACGCCATTTTGTCGGGGAGATCTCCCCAAGCGGAAAGAGTTTGTCCAGGGGCTGGCTCAGTGTGCTCTATTGACGGTGGTGCGTCGTCCAACATCGGAGGGCGTCGTGTTGAGGGTGACGGCTCAGGTTCGGATGTCGACCCAGAGGATGTCAATGAGTTCGTGGGTCCCCACACCCACGTGGAGGTTAGAATGGACGGATCTGATAGTCATGTAGTCATCCCGGGAGACTACAACTTGCTGTTGAACAGCGAGCAAGTGGTGTCTGCCCTAGCTCCCTTATGTGCCGCTCCTGAAAGCGAGATGCTTAGGGCTATGAGCGACGTGGAGTTGTCTCAGAAGGTCGCCGGTATGGCCTTACAGGTAGATGCCTTGTCTTTTCATTTCGTCGTTGGGTTTGTGCGGTGATCATTGTTCCGTATTTTGTTTCTAACTTCTCCCCTTCTCTTTTTGTCAGACCCTCATCATGGAGTTTGAGTGGGAGCGTCGGGATAGGAGACGGACGGGCCTTTATGAGAAGATGTCGTCCAAATATCATCAGTATCGTGCTAAGCATCGGGTGATGGCCGACATTTATCATCAAGACCCTGAGTTTCAGGTGTTTCGTGAGGGGCTCAAGCAGCGGGAGGACCAGTTGGAGTGCAAGGTTGAGGAGTTGAGGGAGAGGGACGAGGAGCTCGTGAAGGTTATTGCCCGCAATAGTGAGCTGGAGGCTTCCCTTAAGGCGAGTGAGGATGAGCTCAAGTTGAGCAAGGGGTGATGGCTGAGAATGCCGACTTACAGGCGAAGGTGGCTGACTTAACCACTGAGTTGAGTACTAAGGAAGCGGAGATTGAGGGGCTTAAGGGCGAGCTGGACGTTAGTGCCAACAAGCTGGCGGCGGCTATTTCTGAATCAGTATCTTTGGAAGACGCCCTCCGCATTTCTAGGTCGGAGTTGACTGAAGAGAAGGAAGCCTCTGGTCGTCAGGTTGCAGGGCTCGAAGGGCGTGTAAAAGAGCTGGAAGCGGAGCTGGCTGCACTAAATGGACAAATGGCCTCACTGAGGGCGGAGGATGCGAGTCGACGCTCTCAGCCTTCTACGTCTCGTGCCTCAGCCGATCCGGTCATGCCCCATCTTTTACACGAGTTGTGGGTCCACGCGGAGGCTCGGCTTGATGTGTATAACTATAAGGCTTTTCACGCCGAGGGAAGGGTTACTAAGGTGGAGGTTCAGGTTGTGCACACCGAAGCTTGTGCAG